TAAAATAAATGAGTTCAATCAAAAACAAGAAGCTTAATTTAGAATAACCGATACAATAAGTGTTTGTTCATTTTCTATAATATAAAAAAGAAAGGGATTTATTTTTAAGTCAAACTTAAATAAAAAAATAAGAATATTTTATTATGAATAAATTTGAAAGCTATACCTTAAATAATGTATAACTAAACAAGAAATTATATTTCATAAAGTTCAAATTATCTAATATAACCAGTATATTATCAAATCCTATTTTTTCAATGACAAAAGATAACAAGAATTAATTAATTAAAAACTTGTTTTAATTAATATGATTTTAATTGTTCACAGTTTGAGACAATAACCTTGCATTGTGTTAATTCAGAACGATTAATTTGTGATAAAGAACTATTATCGTCAAGAGATAAAATTTGTAATTGTTTTGGTAATTGTAGTTGTTTAATTTTTGAACAATTAATAAATTGTGCATCAACTAAACTAGTGAATGGTCGTAAGTCTTGGATAGCTTCAATAGATTCAACATCAACAATATTTAAATGGACAATACTTGTTGATAATTTAAGAACCCGTAATTCTGGTAACATTTCAACATCAAACCTTTTACATTTTGTCATTTGTGAAAGGTCTATTTCTTCTAAAACGTCACAATCTTTATAACTAACTTGTTTAACAGAAGTAGGAAGAGTAACTTGTTTAATATGTTCACATCTATCGATGCTGAAATTTTCAATCAAAGTAGTAGTTAAGTCTAAATGAATTAATTTTTGCGATTGCATTAAAGTAAATTCTTTAAGACTTAATGGTAATTGCATAGTTGTTCCAGCAAATTGACCTAATTCCAAATTAGTTAAATTAGTTAATGAAACTAAATTGAGAGAAGTAACTTGAGTACAATATGACATTTTTAATATTTGTAAATTCTTTGGGAAAATAGGATTTTTTAATGATTCACAATCGGCAAGAATAAGTTGAGTACAATTATTCAATGTTCCTATTTGTTGCATGTCTGTTAAAAGTGGTGCTCTATTAAATCTTAAATCTTTAAGTGATTGTGGGAATGTAACATTCTCAAAACTTGTTTCTATTGGTTCAAATGAAACAAATTCAAGTTGATTAAGACCCTTAATTCCAATTTGTCCATTTACACTAACATCTTTACCTATATGAGCAAAATTTTGTCTCCAATATAATACTTTAATTGTATTAGGAAGATTAACAATTCTCTTTTTTGATTTAAATTCTAAATCATCTCCAACTTTTAATTCTGTTAAATGAGTAAATTGTGTTAAGTCATAATATTCTTCAGTTTTTTGTTGAATTGTTTTTTCAGTGATTTCTAATGACCTAATACTTTTTAATTGTTGTGATTGATAAAATTGTCGAGGAACTCTTCCTGTAATTTTTAATTTATCAATTTCTACATCAGGAACTTCTGATGCAGGAACAGCCCTTTCAAGGCAAAGATATTGAATAGCACATTTATCAACAAGTTGAGCAACACTTGCTGCAACATATTTATTAGCAGGAGTAACAAGATATTTTTGAAAAATTGAAGGATGAAGGTAAAGTTCTTCAGTAACAATCTTCTCACAAATTTGTTCAGAAAAAGGATTAAGAATATCATACTTAAGAACAATAACTACATTATCATTTACTTTATTAATTTTTTCTATATCATAAAGATAATTACTTTTTTGAACAACAATTACTTTAACTTCAGCTTTTGGGTTATTATCTTTTAAAAGAGCAAGAATACTTGGTAAATATTTATCATCTAACATTACATTATCTAATGTAATTTGTTCTAATGATTTAGAAAAGAATGGAATAAGATCATTTAATGGATATTTAAGTTCTTGATTAAATGAAAGTAGTGAATAATCAATAGACAATTTCTTTAAACTTAATCCATTAAAATATGATAAGTCCATTTCCTCTAAACATCGAATAGTAAGATCAACACAATGTTTTAATAACATTCTACATGTTGGATATTTCTTAATTAAAGAAAAATCTTCTTCTTCTGATACTTCAAGAATAGTTGCAATAGACATTCTATAATCATTTATGTATTTAACTAAATTTTTAAATTGTCCATTAAATACACTTGCACCTCCAAAAATTAATGGGGATGGATCATCAAGTCTTTGTAATTTATTTTTTGTACAAACAACTTGATTATACTTTTTATTAATTTGAGCAAATTTACCTACTTCTTTAGTTGAGTGAATTTGATTTAAAATAGAGTCAAGAAATTGTGGTGCAATTCTAACGTGGTTAGAAACAATGGATGACATGAAAATGCATTGAAGGGTTTGTTTAAGGGTTTTTTATCTGACTGTTAATTTTTTCTTTTTTATAATTTTTTACTCTTTTCAAATAATTTGTTATTTAAAACGAAAAATGTTGTACTAAGAATAATTTGTTATTATTCATATCCTCCATCATCAGATTCTTCTTGTGGTGGTGGAAGAATAACTTCCTCTTGAAGTGAGTCATAAATTTCGGTGAGTGATTTAAAACAATCTCTAAATCGTGGACGTTTGTCTGGGCTATTAAAACAACTTGTAATAACTTCCCAAACTTTATCCCCAACGCTTCCATTTTCTTCAAGAATAGTTGGTTTTTCTAAACGAAGTCCTTTAATGACTGCATCAAGAGCGTCTTGGGCTTTAGAGATAGAAGAATATGGAATAATTCCTTTTGTTAAAATTTCCCAGAAAACAACACCATAAGACCATACATCACTTTTTGTATTAAATTGAAGATATGATGGAGAATTAGGATCACCAGCTTCTGGAGCCGTCCAACGTTTAGGAAATATTTTTGATTGAGTTGTATAATTACCATCAGCTGTTTGACGTGATAGTCCTAAATCAGCAATTTTAGTGATATAACCTCCTTTATCATCATGAATATATAATAAATTTCTTAATGCAAGGTCTCTATGAACAATTCTTAATGACTCTAAATAAGCCATTCCAGATGCACAATCAATAGCCATTTTAATTTGTTTTTTAAATGTTATATTTGCACGTTCATTTTTTGGATTTTCACGACTCATTAATTTATCTAATGAACCTTCAGCTAAATCAAGAATCATGAAAATTGTATCTTTCTCTTTATATAAACCATACATAGTTATTAAGTTTGGATGTTTCATTAATTGTGTAATAGTTGCTTCTTTTTCTAATTCAATTAATTTTTCTGGTTTGTCTAATGCTCCATTAACTGCTTTCATTGCAACAGGAGTAGTTCCAAGCCACATTCCTTTACAAACAACTCCAAATGCTCCATTTCCTAATTTTTCACCCACTTCACAATCTGTAAGATATTCATATTTTCCATGTAATTTAGAAGAAGATAATCCATCTTCTTTAGCAATAGCTGCTGATAATTGTATAGCATACCCTTTCTTAATTCCAGCTTTAATTAATAAAGCAGTAGAACTAGAATGAAGAGTATTATAATCATTAATTTTTGCTTCAAGAAGTTTTTCTATTAAATGAGTTAAATTATTTTTCTTTAAAAAGTAATATAATTCTTCATTAACAATTATTTTTTGTTGTGGAATACTTAATTTTTCTTCTTCAACAACTTTTTTAAGGTCTTCCCATTTCATATTTTTATTTTCAATACTACAAACAATCATTGGTTTTGTACTTTTTTCTCCTCCAATAATAATAAAAAATGACCCTCCATTTCTAAATGAAAATGGTATTAATGTATTTCCCCATGTTTTTTGTTCCATAAGACTATTTTTAATATTTCCTTTTATCATTTTTTCACTTCCCATTCCATGAACATCATAATAATAAATATCATCCATAGGTTCTTCTCCTTTATTTCCATAAACAGAAATTGCTACATCTTCATTTTTGAAATATCCAAAACGTAATTCATTCTTTGGACAATCAAAATTACTACATTCAAACCATCTTTGTGTGTCAATGTTAAATCTACTAATTTTAACCGACTCTCCTTTAGTAGTATATCCACCAATAATATACATATTCCCACCACTTGTAATAAAACATCCATGTTTTTCTCTATATAAGTCTTCATCTTTACCTCCAAGAATAAAAGAAGAAGAACTATCAATATCAAATTTAATAAAATCTTTTGAAAATACTTCAACGTCATTACTTTTCTTTGAGTTTGTTCTTCCACCATAAATGTATAATGCCCCTTTATATAACACAGTAGAATGAAAGTATTTTCCAGGAACTTCACCAAGTACTATTTTAAGTTTTTCAATTGAATAATTTTCTGTATCAATAACATCAATTCCTTTCATAATTTCTTCATATTGTAACCCACCAACTAAATAAATTTTTTTTTTGTAATAAGTTGCTGTATGATATGCTCGTTCAAATTGTATATCTAACTTTACTTTTTTCCATTTTAATGATTCGAAATCAAAAATATACAAACAACTATTATACTTCTTTTCTGAATCTATCCATCCTCCATAAACATACATTTTACAATCTCCATAACATGTACTATGTCCATATATTCCAATAGGTGGTGAATTATTATCATTTGGTGCTTCAATAACAGTTTTGATTTCAGGCATTTCAAAAAGAGTAATGTATTGATATTTTGAGTTCAGTTTACTCATCACAACATATCACATATCATATTTTCCTAATTTCCCGATTTCGCTGATTATTTTGATGAAACGTCATTTCTAAAACAATAATTTTATTATTATGTTATTTCTTTTTTGTTTTATACAAATGAGTTATTTTTGTTGAAAAGAAGGAATTTAATGTCTTTTCTTCAGTAAAAACAACAAAAAGTTAGTACAATATAAAGTCATCTTAAAAAAGTGAAATTATAAGACAAAGTGAAGATGTCTGAAGTTACAATTAAAAAAATAGTTGAAATCCCAAATGAAGGAAATAACGAACATCCTGATTTTAAAACCATTTCACCTAAACTATGTTCTGGAAATGGATATATCTATCTTCAAGGAGGGTCATTAAGAAAAATACAAACAGGTCAATTTATTGAAAATTTATGGCAATTTGATATTTCAAATTTAGTTTGGAGAAAACTTGGTAATTTAGAGAACTTTAAATTAGGAAGAGAATATCATACAATTACTTTTGATAATGAAATTATTTATGTTATTGGAGGAACTAATAAAAATAATCCAGATGGTATTTCAGGTATTGATAAGATTAATGTAAATACATTTGAAGTAACTCATTTTGACTCTCCTTCTTTATCTAAAAGAAGTTTTCATACATCAGTTATTAAAAATAGTAAAATTTATATTATTGGAGGATTAGTTCCAATTGAAGGAAAAACAAAAGGAGTTCCATGTGATTCTTTTATAATGTTTGATAATAATTAATTTAATTTGATAATAGAAATTAATAACATAGTTATGACACTAAGACTGATGATGTTAAAATACAAAAATTACCATTTGGAAGTATTGCACAACATACATCTTTTATTGATGACAATGGACTTATTTATATTATTGGTGGTAAAGGAGATAATAATGTTAGTAATAAGAATATTTATATTTATGATATTTATAAGTCAAAATGGGAAACTATTCCTTCTCCAATTAATCTCGATTTATTAAACCTTCAATCTGTTTTTGTTGAAAGTAAAAAAGTTGCAGTTCTTGTTGGTGGTAGATTAGGTGCATATAAAAGAAACTCATCAATATACATTCTTGATACTAAAACTAAATCATTATACAAAAAAGATAATGGAATAGAATTTATTGCTCCAGATTGTGGTATTTGTTTACTTAAAGATTCTATCTTTGCTTTTGGGTCATTTGATAAAAATATATCAGTATTAAGTTTTGATGAATTCTTTTCAATTAACTCATTAGTAAGTAGTTCAACTCGTGTTATTGTAAATGGTGTTTCATGTGTATCGGTTGAAGTAGGAGAAAAACCTAAATTAGATGAAAAGGTACAAAAAACACTTGAAATTTCAAAATGTGATTATGATGAAATCTCAAAGATTCTTTTAGAAAATGGGTTTAATACAGATGACACATTTTGTTTACTTGACCAACCAATTTGTGAAGAATTAAAAATTGATCCAGTTGTTAGTGCTGAATTAATTTCTAAAAGGTCTGATGTATATGATGAAAATAATAAATTCGGAGAGGATGCTCTTAAAAATTTTAATTATCTTACAGAATGTGAAGTAGGTGAAAAATTAGGAAATGGAGCATTTGGAGTTGTTTGTAAAGGAATGTGGCTTGGAACTACTCCTGTTGCAATGAAAGCTATAGACGGAGCATTAGATAAACCAGAAAAGTTACAAGAAATAATTAAAGAAGCATATGTTACACAATTAATGAAACACCCTAATGTAATAACTATGTATGGTTTATATAAAAATGAAGAAAGTTTATTTATGGTCATTGATTTAGCTGAAGGTTGTTTATTAGACTATGTCCAAAATAAAGGTGGAAAATACCCTGAATCTAAAACAATGACATTTAAAGATTATGTGAGATGTGCTATGGATGTTGCTTCTGGAATGGCTTATCTTGAATCACAAAAAATTGTTCATAGAGACCTTGCATTAAGAAATGTTCTTTATATTCACGACAAATTAGGAATTCGTGGTAAAGTAGCAGATTTAGGACTATCCCGTAAATCTGAAACTGGAGAATATGCAGCTAAATCCACTGCTAAAACAATGCCAATTAGATGGACTGCACCAGAAGCAGCTGCAAGAGGTATTTTTACAATAAAAAATGATGTTTGGGCATATGGAATTACTTTATGGGAATTGTTCACAAAAGGAAAACTTCCATACTCTGCTTTAAAAAAAGAAGATGTTATACCTTCTGTTAATGCTGGTCTTCGTTTAGAAAAACCTGATTATCTTAAACATCCAATTCAAACTATAAATAGAGGTATATGCAAAGAAGAAGTATCTGAAGATGATGGATATGGAGAAACACAAGAAGAAGTATCAAAACCAACAGAAATAGAAGAAAATGATGATGAGCTTGGAAATGATATTTGGGAAATGATGTATCGATGTTGGGACATTGAACCACAAAAAAGACCGACATTTAAAGAGATATATAAAATATTAGAAAAAGTAATAGAAAAAATTCCAAATGAAAAAGTAGAACAAGAAGTTAAAGAAGAAAGTGAAGAGGATGATGGTTATGAATAAAATTAATTTATTTCATTGAAACGATTTAACTTTATAAAAAAAAATAAAGATTTTTGCTGAGATTAAAGCACAATTAGAACAATAATACTTTCAAAGATTCAAAAATGTGACTATAGGGTTTCTTTTCATTTTTCTATCTTAGAGTTAATCAACACAAAATCACATGGAAGACAATAACCAATCTTCTTCAACAAATGAACAAATATCTTGTTGTCAAGAAAGAGTAGAAGAAGTAAAAGAAAAAAGAAAACAACAACCAAACCCATTATCAAAGAAATCAATGAAAAAAAGAAAGAAAATACTTAAAGAACAAAATGAGGGAATTTGTCTTAATTTTATGAAAACTGGTAAATGTGAAAGAGAGAATTGTAAATATTCACATGACCTTAAAGAATATTTATCTAAACGAACTGACTTGTTAGAAGGAATTTGCCCATTATTTAAAGAGTATGGATTTTGTCCAAACGGATATACTTGTGAATGGTATAAGTCTCATATCAATGAACAGGGAGAGTTAATAACAAACAATGAGGTAATGAAATTACATCCTTTTAAAGAACCATTAAATACTCAAAAACCAGAAACACTTCATGTACTAAGAACAAATAAATTTGATTTTAAAATACCTGAAGAATTTCCTGTCCCAGAAAAGAAAATACTTGATTTAAAAGGAAAGTTAATTCTTCCATCATTATGCACTTTTGGTAATTTACCATTTAGAAAAGTAGTTAAAAGATTTGGGTGTGATGTTACTATGACAGAAATGATTATGGCTGAGTCATTAGTTGAAGGTAAAACAAGTGAATGGGCTTTAGTTAAAAGAGACCCATCAGAAGATATATTTGGAATTCAGTTATGTGTTGGTAATTCAATGTTAGCAGCAAAAGCATGTCAAGTCTTAAATTCGGTTGATTGTGATTTTTATGAATTAAATTGTGCTTGTCCAATTGATTATGTATATAAAAAAGGAATGGGTGCTCAATTAATTGAACGACCAAAAAGAATTGAGTCATTACTTCATGCTATGAGAAGTGTTACAGAGAGACCAGTAGCAATTAAAGTTAGAACTGGAAAAAGTAGTAATACAATCCAAGATGTTTTATTACCAAATTGTGCAGATTATGGAGCAGCAATGGTAAGTATTCATGGAAGAACTAGAGACCAACGTTATACTAAATCAGCAGATTGGGATTTTATTAAACAAGCTACAACAATTACTCAGTGTCCAGTTATAGGAGTTGGAGATATTTATGGATATAAAGATTATCAAAAAGCATTAGATTGTGGTGTTACTACTGTAGCTATTGGAAGAGGGGCATTAATCAAACCATGGATTTATACAGAGATTAAAGAAAAAAGAGATTGGGACATATCATCATCAGAACGTCTTGATATTTTAAGACAATATGCATTAGATGGACTTTCTCATTGGGGAAGTGATGCACAAGGAATTAGTAAAACAAGAGAATTTATGTGTCATCATTTAACATTTATGACAAGATATGTACCAGTTCATTGTGTATTAGAAACTAATCAAGAGATTTCAATTAAAGTTAGAAATGATAGAGTAATGTGTTATCGGGATGATATGGAAAAATTATTAACATCAGATAGATTAGAAGATTATATTAAAATTACAGAAATGTTTCTTGGACCAGCTCCAAAAGACTTTGTGTATGTTCCAAAGCATCAATCATATGTGAAAATGTGAAATGCTTATCATATAATTAATTTTTAATAGAATCTTTTCTAAAATTAAATATATTCTATTCAAATGATATAAATAATTTTTTGTAATAATTCTAAATTTAAAAAAATCTATAAAATAAAAACCCTAGTTCTTTAAAAATATAGTTTCAATACTACAAAGAAAAGACATAAAAAAGAAAACAAATAGTAAAAAATTAAAAAAAATGAGTTAGTTGTTTATGAAGAAAAAAAATTAAAATCAAAAAGATAAAAAAAAAATATAAAATAGAAAAAAAAAAAAAAGAAATTGAAGCTAAAAAACCCCAAAAAAAGAGGAATAGAATAATAAGGTTTGAATTAGTAAGAAATCAAAAAAAAAGAACTGGAAAAAAATAAAAATATGGGTTGCGGACAAAGTAAAGATAACAGCATTGATAAACAAATTGTTGAAATGGCTAAAAGTAAACCAATTACTGTTATGTTACTTGGTAGTGGAGAAAGTGGTAAATCAACTATTGCAAAACAATTAAAAATTTTATTTGGAGGAGGATTCCCAGAACAAGAAAGAGCTACTCATAAATCTTCTATTTGTAGTAATGTTGTTACTTGTATGAGAACATTAATTGAACAATCAGCTATTTTAAATCATCCAATGAAATACCAACCTAAAAGTAAAGAATTTACTACTGAAGACCCTGTTACTCTTCCATTTTCACCAGAACTTGTTGGTGATGTTGAAGCACTTTGGGCAGATGAAGG